AGAGCGAGACTTCATGACGAGGATGACTCGTCCTCTCCAGCTCACCTGTCTGCACGTCGACACCCACTGATCTCACCTGTCTGCACGTCGACACCCACTGATCTCACCTGTACACAGACAGGAAGTCAGCAACAGGAAGAGGCGGAGCCAGCTCGCCTGCACTTTAGTTTTAATGTTTAATGTTGATATAAATTATTAAATCTTCTTTTATTTTACCTGAAGTTTGTTAATTTCACACCACACACTGTTGTCATGGCAACATCACAGTCCCTCATCCACCTGACTGTCACACCTGAGTCAGGTAAAATTATAATAATCCAAAATAAATAAATAATGAACGCAGCAGGTATTGATTGATTGAAGAGTAAAACACATTTATTATTATTATTATTATTATTATTATTATTATTATTACTTACTGTCTGTTAGTTCAGAGTCCTTCTGTTTGTTTCTTTACAAATAAAGTTGAATTGAAACTCGACTCTAATAATCTGTGTAACCCCACTAATACAGCACACACACACACACACTGTGTGTGTGTGTGTGTGTGTGTGACAAACAGAAACAGCTGCTGATGGTTGAAGAGTTTCAGAGTTAACTGACAGAACAACAGCTCCACCCAGAGGTAACATCTGGAACTGCAGCTGCTGAGTTAAACTAATAATAATAATGTTGTTATTATTATTATTAAGGAGAAGAACCTTACAGGATGAAGGTTTATTTCTGAGACACTGTCATTATCTTCCAAATATTTTTTTACCAAAATAAAATACATTTTTAATAAAAAACAAGAATAATATGAACAACTGTTGTGTTTTGTGTTTCAAGGCCACCGTACTTCCGTCCCAACTGACGACACACAATAATAATAATATAATAATAATTATTATTATATTTATATAAAGAATCTCTGCTGCTGTAGATTTATATGAACTGTTCCTGTCAGAGTTCAGCTGTGAAGTAAATGTGGGTTTTGTAGTCCATATTTCAGAAAGTTGTAGTTTCACTGCAGGCCGGATCCGACTGCACCACGTCATCATTCGGACCCTGTCAGTATATATATATATATATATATTATTTTAACTTCTATTTGATTTTAATTGTCTGTTTTGTTTTTTGTCTCCTGAAATATTTTAATCCGTAACTTTGCTTTTCGCCCCTTCCCGTTTTCTCTCTCTTCTGTCCGTCTGTCCCGCGGTCCCCGTCACGCTCGGTCTGTCTCGATCAGTCTCTCTCTCTCTTCTCTCTCTGTCGGTCTCTCTCTCTCTCTCCCTTCCCTCCCTCTCTCTCCCTCACACATCCTCCTCTCTGCAGTTTATAGTCAGTCTGACTGTTTCTTGTAAACGGAACTTCATCCCGCTGAAGTCTGTAAGTAACATTTATTATATTATAACCTTCAGTCTCTTTATGTTTTTATTTTATCCTGTAAATCAATAAAACCGAGCTGCGAACCAGCTGCTCGTTGCTAAGCAACAACAATTGTAAATAAATAATGTTAAACTTTATAATAATAATAATAATAATAACCGGATACTGACTGAGGAAATAAACTTTAACTATATTATTGATGCTTTATTATTAGTAGTAGATAGTAGATTTAATAGGATCAATATTACTATTGAAGTATTATATATAAAGTATTACAGTGTTAGCTCTCACTCCATTATAATCTATATGACTCACTGTACTGGGAGTTTCATTTATCTGGAAACTGTCCTCCTTCCTGCCCGGACATGTTCTCATTAGTTATTATTAGTTATTACCCAGCAACGTCTGCAGGAAGGATGTGTATTGTATTCTGTGTTTTTATCATTTTAAACAATCAGACAGACGTAATATAATGTAATGTAATGTAATATAATGTAATGTAATGTAATATAACGTAATGTAATATAACGTAATTTAATGTAATATAACAGTAAGTGATATAATGTAATGTAATGTAATATAACGTAATATAATGTAATGTAATGTAATATAACGTAATATAATGTAATGTAATGTAATATTGTTCTTTTTGTGACAGATTCACTGTTTTCAGCTCTTTGGTTGTTTTCTAACGCAGGACGAGGCCGTTGATCAGAGACTGAAGCTCTGTGAATGTACGCTGTGTTCAGTTCTTCAGATTTACATTTACATAATAACATCAGCCCTCAAAGTGAAGCTCTGGTGAAATCAGTGCTCTTAAGAAAGAGTATGTATTTAATCTCGTAACCACTCAGGATGTAATATTGCTCAAATCAGATGTTATCTACAAACCAAATCTCTCTATATTTCCATCCACGTTTCAGGTTATTCAGAGGTTTATGTGTATGCAGGCGGCAGGAGTTCGCTGTGGTTTACGAGAAATGACAGTCAGACTTCAGTGCTTTCAGATTTTAGAGCTGGAGAGTCAATCTGCTGACTCTGAATGGAAAGTCCTGAATAATTCAGACTCTGTGGATGGAAATGAAAACACACCTGCTCAACAACAAACTGTTTGTGTTCCACCGTAACTTTAAAAGCAGGAACACTGTTTTAAAAACAACTAAACTGACTCAAACTCAACTGCAGCTGTTAAAATGTGATATGGCTTAAAGGAAGGGAGGGAAAGTCCAGAGGAGTGACAGAATCATAAATGTTGTAACAGGAAAAATGATTCAATCTCAGTTCCTAGGTACTGTGTACACTCATCATTAAAGCATTAATTAAACTAATATCTAACAGCAGTCAACGTCAGACAACTTTATCAGCCTGTAGTGGAGACTAAACGTTAACAATGATCCATATCAGCAGTTTAATCCAACTAAAAGCTCCCTGCACCAAACTCCCTTTAAAGGCACACTATGCAAGATTTGTACCTTAATATAACAGCTTCAAAGTCATTTTGATGGTAAACGAACTCGTAGTATAGCGAATCATCCCGATAGCAAAGCAGTTGGCAGAACCAGTAATGCAAGTCTGAAAGGTGGCGTCCCGCCAAATCTCCCAAGAGTCACGAATTGCTTTACGGCGCGACGTCACATACATCATCGACATAAGAAGCAGCCTCAATGGGGGATAAAGATACGTTACCTGATCCATATGATTCATCTAGATACAGAGTATACTGATCAATTTGCCATAAAGTTCGAGTGTCTCGATCAATTCCTTCCTAAAGATACAGTGTATACTGATCAGTATACGGGGGGGATAAAGATACAGTGTATACTGATCAATATCATCCATAAAGATACAGTGTATACTGTTAATTGTGTTTGTGTGTCTCTGCAGAAGATGGATGTTTGTTTTGAGGAAGAGGAGGAGACAGCAGAGTCTCGTCTGTCTCTGAAGAGTGATCAGTCCATGGGTCATCCTCTACAGTTCACTGCTGAACCTCCTTCACACACAAAGTAAGACTACAGCAGTGAAGCTCAACTCTCATTTACAAAGTAACAGACTGTGAACTATTTCTTCTTATCTCTCTGTCTGTAATATAAATGTGTAATTCTGAAACTGAAAGCAGACAGTGATTACGAACAATGAAAGAAACTTGTGGGTAACATTGGAACTGAATTCACAGAGTTGAAAGAGAAACTAACCTGATGAAAGTACCAGCAGGGAACTTCAAATAGTTTACAAGAAGTCAGAATTGATGTTTATGTTTTTATCTCATATCTGTTGCTAGCAATGACAGAGAGGTCATTTTTAAGGTATTTCCAGGTATTCTCAGGGGCCAATCACACAGATCACTTCAATAACACCTTGGCGAAGAGCGTCCGGGGAAAAACAGCTGATGCGCTTGTTTGTGCAACCGGTCGAAAAAAATGTGTTGAAGCTTGTTGTGTTTCTAGCTTAATTTCAAAGAGGTGGATCACTGAGGTTACCTCTGCTCTGTAGCTCTCTCACCGTCCAACGGCTAACTAACTAGATAATGATCAATTTCAAAAAAGAGTTTGCTACAGGTGAGCTGGCTGCCTATAAAGTCTCCGCCCCTTCAGGAAGCAGGCAGGTAGTGGAGGGTTAGATACAAAGGGTCACCGTCTCTTGCTTGATTTGATTGGCTGTCTGGGCCAAGTGTGACATTGACGAGCGGCTTGACTCTGCACCTGTGCAGCGCAAGAGAGGAACACCTGAAAAACCAACACTTTATAACTTTACAACTTTACAACTTTATTCACTGATAAAGCACAGATCAAAAAGGGGGTGGGGCTTAGGAATGGTCTATTACTTAGCATTTTATCATGCTAACATTAGCTAATTAGCACTGAAACAAAGTAAAACTCAGGCTGATGGGAATGTTTTGTACTGGACAAATTACATTTTTACCTGATGATGAAGTTATTAATCCATATGGACGTCTGACATTCTCGTTGGAAAGGTTGTTTCAGATGCTGTTACGCTTTCACACGAGCAATAGATATCAAGGAAAGACAAATATTTTCATCTGAGCTACATGACCAGAAACTAGAAAGATTCTGAGGCAAAACAGCTCAAATTATACGTATTTATCTCATTATATCTTTTATAAGTAAAATCCTGATATTTTGTTAAAGATGATGGAAGTTGCCTTCATGTCCACAGAGGGGGAAGAGGTGTGGTGGCGCTGAGGAGGAGCCGAGGTCCTGCTGCCGTGCCCAAAGTATGGTCTCAAGCAGCTGTCGAGACCTCATCACCTCAGACTGGGATTGGTCTGGTTCTTCAGGAGCCTCTCTGCACTGTGGGAAAGAGTCCAGCAGAAGACCTGGACTCCAGACACCCAGTGGAAGTAAGACAGCATGACCTAAAGTTCTATTAAAGCCTCTGTATGGCCCATATTTAGAAATATATCTTTGCTTGTCCTTTAATGAGAGTAAATGACAATATTGCATACATCAATAGCTAGTAAGCTAGCTATAGCACACACATATTAATGGCCTCTGTATCATAACTGCAAGCACACAGTGCTGCAAGACCTGAATGAATACCAAAGTCAGTTTAATAAACTGTCCAAAAGAATCGTTGCTAAGCTTTAATTCTTCATATCAAGCTTAGGAATGCCACATAACAGACTTTCTTAACTAAAGGTGTCCCCCAGGGTTCCATTTTGGGACCTCTTTTTTCCCCTGTTTTTATAAATGACTTCGGTAAAGACATTAAAACAAAAATACACTTTTGTGCTGATGACAGTGTATTTTATATTCCCTCCATAAGCATGGGTGGTGAAAGAGCTTCAGACTTTATTTCAGTCATTACCGCTCAGAAGACAAACTTTGTGGTCTTCTCTAAAGCTTGCTTACAGTTGCTTGGTGATTTTAATATTTTCACATCTGAAGGTAAATCCATTGAAAGGCTGCCCTCGTACACAATCTTGGGTATATGGATAGACGACAAGCTTTGATTTAATCTAGTTAGGAAGCTCAAAGTGAGAGTTGGCTTGTATTTTAGTAATAAATCTTGTTTTACCTTCAATGCCATAAAAAACTTGTGGAAGCTTCTTTTTGTCTGTGATTGAATACGGTGACATATTGTATCTGCTGCCTCCTACGTTTCACGGAGCCGTGATTCAGTGCATCTCTACACTTCATTATAAACTCAAAGGCCCTCACTCACTATTTATTCTTTATGATTTTATGGGTTGGACAACATTGACCACTTGCAGACAACAGCACTCTGTGTTTTCTTTCTTTCTTTTGTATATCATGTTGTTAATGTTGTATTTTAATATGTTTGATATATGTTGATTTTGTATTTCCTGGTAAAATAAAACAAAATAATTGTTTTGTGATGTCTATATTGAATGCAGATCAGAGTGAATATTTTGATGCTTATAAGATCAGTCTGAAGACAAGATGTAAAAATGTGACTGAAGGAACTGATGAAACAGGAAGTGGAACCCTCCTCAACAGGATCTACACTGAGCTCTACATCACAGAGGGACAGAGTGAAGAGGTTAATACCCAACATGAGGTGAGACAGCTTGAGACAGCTTCCAAGATGGAGATCCTCCATGACGCTCCAATCAGGTGCCACAACATCTTTAAAGCCTTACCTGACCAACAGAAACACATCAGAGTGGTTCTGACGAACGGCGTCGCTGGCGTTGGAAAAACCTTCTCAGTGCAGAAGTTCACTCTGGACTGGGCAGAGGGCTTGGAAAACCAAGATGTCAGTCTGCTGGTTCTGCTTTCGTTCAGGGAGCTAAACCTGATCAAAGATGAGCAGTACAGTCTTCTCACACTGCTCAATGTTTTCCATCCAACATTACAGAAGGTCACAGCAGAGCAGCTCGCTGTCTGTAAACTTTTGTTCGTCTTTGACGGCCTGGATGAAAGCAGACTTTCACTGGATTTCCACAACAATGAGGTTGTGTCTGACGTCACACAGAAGTCTTCAGTCAACGTGCTGTTGACAAACCTCATCAAGGGGAATCTGCTTCCCTCGGCTCTCGTCTGGATAACTTCCAGACCTGCATCAGCCAATCAGATCCCTCCTGAATGTGTTGACAGGGTAACAGAAGTACGAGGCTTCACTGACGCCCAGAAGGAGGAGTACTTCAGGAGGAGAATCAGTGATGAAGATCTGTCCAACAGGATCATCTCACACATCAAGACCTCCAGGAGCCTCCACATCATGTGTCTAATCCCAGTCTTCTGCTGGATCACTGCTACAGTTCTGGTCCACATGTTGACTACAGACCAGAGAGGAGAGCTGCCCAAGACGCTGACTGACATGTACTCACACTTCCTGCTGGTTCAGACAAAGAGGAAGAAGCAGAAGTATGATGAGGGACATAAGAAGAGTCCACAGGAGCTTATGGAGGCTGACAGGGACGTCCTTCTGAAGCTGGGGAGGCTGGCGTTTGAACAGCTGGAGAAAGGAAACATCATGTTCTACCAAGAAGACCTGGAGCAGTGTGGTCTTGATGTCACAGAGGCCTCGGTGTACTCAGGAGTTTGTACAGAGATCTTCAGAAGAGAGAGTGTGATCTTCCATAAAAAAGTCTATTGCTTCATTCATCTGAGCATTCAGGAGTTTCTGGCTGCAGTCTACATCTTCCACTGTTACACCAACACGGAGAACGAGACACTGGAGACATTTCTTGGGAATGCCTGGGGTAGGTTTCGTAGCTGTGACCCATCTTTAGATATGCTCCTGAGTAAAGCCATGCATGAATCCTTAAAGAGCAAAAATGGCCACCTGGACCTGTTTGTCCGCTTCCTTCATGGCCTTTCGCTTGAATCAAATCAAAGACTCTTAAGAGGACTTTTAGGCCAGACAGAGAACAATCCAGAAAGCATCAATAAAGAAATCCACAATCTAAAGCAGATGAGCACCTACGAGATCTCTCCTGACAGAAGCATCAACATCTTCCACTGTCTGATGGAGATGAACGACCACTCAGTCCATCAGGAGATCCAAGAGTTCCTGAAGTTAGAAAACAGATCAGAGGTGAGACTCTCTGAGATCCACTGCTCAGCTCTGGCCTACATGCTGCTGATGTCCGAGGAGGTTCTGGATGAGTTGGACCTGAAATCTTACAGGATGTCAGAGGAAGGACAACTTAGATTGATCCCAGCTGTCAGGAACTGTAGAAAAGCTTGGTAAGTCCAGGGTCCATATTTAGCAAAAGTCTTATCCTTGGACTGGAATGTATGTACCGGTACTAGTAGGACTTCAGTGCTCTACAGCAGAGGTTTATGGTTCTGAGGAATGACCTGGTTCGATCCCTCCAGAGAGTGTCAAAGTGTTCTTGAACAAGACCCTGAACCCTTAACCGTTCCTGTATACTTTGAGCTCCAAAGTCTGGCCTTTGAGCAGAAGACAGTGAGTCACTCGAGGTGCCATTAACCTCCTTCTTAAGATAAAGTGTCTGTTTGTTGTGAATCTGGACCCATAAGGCCAGCACACAACAAAATAGTCAATATGAAAGTGGTCCCTGGTGCCAATAAAGGTTAGAAACCCCTGTTCTAAAGCACCCAGAACTGCAATAAAAATAAATTATGACAATAGGAGGACTTAGTCAATGCCAACTGGATTTACTGTTTTAGTCTTCTAGTCTGATCCAAAACACATCCTCACAGTATTTGTCACTTTATGTAAGTGAAGAGACCAGCAGTACAGTAACAAAAGCAGTAGTTTAGGAATGCCCCCTGCTGGAGTACAACATGCTTTTATACTATACACAGAGTATTTAGAAATTGACCAGTTGATTACAGATTTTTTTTTGTCCCATTTTAGTTGAGAATGGTTTTAGTTTGATTTTAAAACAAATACCATGTGAAAGCTGTTTTTTGGCAATATAAAACCACCAGAATAACTTTGTAAGAATGGCTCGACGGATATACAAATTATATTAATTGGTAAAAAATTGGCACGATATTAAATTTTTTCCCATTACAATCTTTCAGGCTTTCATGCGGTCGACTTTTTGAGATTCACTGTGAAGTCTTGGCCTCAGCTCTGAAGTCCAACCCCTCCCATCTGAGAGAGCTGGACCTGAGTAACAACAAGCTGCAGGATTCAGGAGTGAAGCTGCTGTCTGCTGGACTGGAGAGTCCAAACTGTAGACTAGAGACTCTGAGGTCAGAGAGATTAAATTAATTAGTTACATATTTATTATGACTAATGTTTATGTAAATATATTGAAATAATATATATGTATATCAGACAGAAAGAGTGAAGCTGCTGTCTGCTGGAGGACTGGATAGTCTATACTGTAGACTGGAGACTCTCAAGTCAGACAGCTTTATATTTATATCTATATATACATCAGACAGCGGGAGTGAAGCTTCTATCTGCTGGACCTGGGAGTCCATACTGTAGTCTGGAGACTCCCAGGTCAGACAGCTTAATTAGTTATACATTTATTTTGTGTAATGTTTATGTAAATATATAGCTGTGTGTACAATTTTCCTATTCCTGGCATACTATCTGCATTCTGATCGAACTAGGCTGTTCCAGTCTTGTTAGCTACACACTAGTTCACTCACTCACACACACACACACACACACTACTTCTTTATTCTTCATTCAGATTAAGTGACTGCTGGCTGACAGAAAGCTGCTGTTCTTCTCTGGCCTCGGCTCTGAAGTCCAAACCCTCACAGTTGACAGAGCTGGACCTGAGTAACAACAAACTGCAGGATTTGGGAGTGAAGCTGCTGTCAGCTGGACTGGAGAGTTCGCATTGTAGACTGGAGACTCTCAGGTCAGACAGTTCTTTTTTTAGTTCCTTACTGAAATAAGTACAATAGAAATGCTGTGAACAAACATCTAGACAATTATGCTGATCCACACTGACCAGCCTGTATCCCAGCAATGACAATTACATATCAATCATAAGCTACACATTTTAAATGTACATTTACTGTAACAAAATAAACTATATCTAAATTCACACTTGGAAAGCACATATACCTGCACTGAAGTTAAAGAATGTTCTTTCATTTCAACAAATGTGACTGCTTTAAAATATAAAGCGACAGACATTCACATTGTATTCAACTGAGTAAATGTTGTAGTTTTTTTTCCCTTATTTAGTTTGAGGTACTGCAGGCTGTCAGAGAGGAGCTGTTCAGCTCTGGCTTCGGTTCTGAAGTCCAGCAACTCCCATCTGAGAGAGCTGGACCTGAGTTACAACAAGCTGCAGGATTCAGGAGTGAAGCAGCTGTCTGCTGGACTAGAGAGTCCACACTGTAGACTGGAGACTCTGAGGTCAGAAACTGTTTATTCAGCTCTTTGCTAAAGAAATATTCTGGGTCAGTTCTTACACTACGTACCACCACCTTAAAAAAATGTTTTTGACCGATGTATCTGTCATCAACTCCTTCCTGTTTCCTGGGGCTCTCCACTTTGCCTTCAAACTTTCTCACAGAAGGAAAATAATGGATGCAAGCTAACTGCCTCAAACTTAACAGTAAAAAATCTGAAGTCCTCGTCATCGGCCCAAATTCTATCCAACATTATTGTACAACTAGTTTTCAGATTGCAATCTGTGGTGACAACAAACTCTTTAAAATACCAATTTATTCATCGTTCTATGATCTGATATTTGATTAATTTATGGAATAATTTTAAAGGCTTATAGCTAACCTAATTTTTCTTGTAATATTAGATTTTTATGTAATGTAGTTTATATTTGTGTCATAATTTGTTGCTGGACGACTGCCATCTAACTACATGTGTTGTTCTTTGTTCAGACTGAGTTTTTGCAGTTTGTCAGAAAGCAGCTGTAGTTTTTTGGCTTCAGCTTTGAAGTCCAACCCCTCCTATCTGAAAGATCTGGACCTGAGTTACAACAAGCTGAAGGATTCAGGAGTGAAGCTGCTGTGTGCTGGACTCGAGAGTCCATACTGTAGACTGGGGACTCTGAGGTAAGACAGCCTAATTTAAGTAATTGATTATAGATTTATTATGTAATGTTCATATAAATGTATCTTTGATTTATATAAATATATTTATATTATATATCTCTATATATACATTATATGTATATCAAACGGCAGGCGTGAAGCTGTTGTCTGCTGGACTAGTGTCCATACCGTAGACTGTAGACTCTCAGGTCAGACAGTCTAATTTAAATAATTGATTATAGATTTATTATGTAATCTTCATATAAATGTATCTTTGATTTACATAAACATATTCTTGTATTCAAGAATCTAAAGCAGCTCCACCACATTTGCTTCAGATGTGTTGATTGCCATTTAATTTTTGATTCAGATTAGTGAGTCCATAAACCATGTAACATTTTGTGTTATCACCAGTTTAAGGGCAAAGGGCATTGCCCAAAACCATGAAACTGTTGCCCTATGTCTCATTAACTCTCAGAAATTAGTATGTACAGACAGCTCCAGTCTACAGTATGGACTCTAGTCCAGCAGACAGCAGCTTCACTATCTGCATTCTGGTTGAATTAGGTTGTTCCAGTCACACGCTTTATTCTCTGGTCTTCATTCAGATTAACTGACTGCTGCCTGTCAGAGAGCTGCTGTTTGTTTCTGGCCTCGGCTCTGAACACCTCCCACCTGAGAGAACCGGATCTGAGTAACAACAGAGTAAAGCTGCCGTCTGCTGGACAGGACAGTCAGTCAGATCAGTAATCACATACATGTTGTGAAAAGAATATTGTTTTTATTAAGACAACATCTGGCCAATCATCACACAGAAACTTGTTGTGATCACTTTGTTGTTCCCTACAGGGCGACAGAAACCTTGAATGCCGGCGGCGGTTTTTAAAGATGTGAGTATAAAAACGTCAAACATCCTATTTCATTATAGAAAGTAACTTTGACACCTTGCAGTGAGGTTCACAAATTAAAAACATGCAGTCACAGCCCAACAGATGCAAGTTCAATCAAAATCTGTCTCATAACTCAGAACCTAGTAAACTAAATCACATATAAACATCTATGCAAATACACAAAAAAAATCCTTTAAAAAAGATGCCTGAGAACTTGCTTGAGCAGTTCTGACTCTGTAACATTGATCAACACAGTAAACTATGCTAATGCTCTCCGTCCACTACAGTCCACACCAATGATTTCTGTTTTCTGTTTTCTGTTTTCAGTTTTCAGTTTTCCAAATAGACTCAGTCTCATTGACAACATTTCAGAGGAAATCGCTCTATAAGGAACTTTTTGAAGACAAAATATTGCTTCAAGACTTCCTAAAGAATCACAGCATGATTGTTCAAAGGCAAACTGCGGACTGAAAGCAGACGATACGGCAGGAAATTCAGGGAATAGGATGAAACTTTTTAGAGCCTGCAGACCATCTGGGTTGTCCCAAAGTGGACTCATCATCCACTCAATGTGTCACTTTCATTATCACACCTTCTGTCTGGTTTCATTACCTGTTATATGAACTGTAAATGAGTTACATTTGTGTGTTTAGTGTTTTATATACAGACAAACATTGGCTGTCATTTGTTTTGGTGTTGTTGTTGTTATGAGTTGATTTATCTTCAGTTTCTGTAATTTTTTGTTGTAATTTTCTTGTTTTGCACATTTCCTAGAAGCACCTGAGAGAGAGAGAGAGAAATTCAAATCAAAGGCCAAATGAGCTGTTTATGTTTTTTCTTGATCAAGAGAGAGCCTCCTCTCTCCTATTGGATGCTTGGTATAGGCTGTTTATGCATTGTGTGAGAATAGTTGGAATGGACATCAGGACTTTATTTACTATAAAACTTCGTCCCCATATGAGGACGCAGGGTTGCAGGAGGCTATACTACAGCCAGGTTCCTGCCAGGGCCCTGCAGCTCAGAGGAGGAAGAGGAGGAGGAGGAGGAGGAAAAAGAGGAAGAGGCAATGGAGGATGACACCTCTCCATGGAGATCATCCTGTGGTCTCCCACACATGGAGAGTCCCTGCCATTTGCCCAGAGGACCGTCTGCAGCCAGCCTGGTCCTACAAGCCTGGGGCCAGGTCCATGGTCAGTAGGAGGAAGAGGAGGAGGAGGAGGAGGAACCACAACCACAGCCAGGGCCCTCCAGAAAGCAGAGGCACAACGCATAAGGGTTTGGACAAAAGTGTGCCAACCCGTGTCCATCGAGGGGGTCG